CTCCCTCTCTCTAAGATGAAAAGATTGGCCGTGTTGATCGTTGAGAAAAAATTTCTCTTTATGATTTCGACTAAATTATAAATATTTCTTGGTCAAAATGTAATTTGAGTTATATTAGAAATATAAAAAATGTAAAAAGAAATTACTAACTCTTTCTAATTACCATATAAACTTTCAGGTGAGTGAAAGAGACACTGTTGTTTTTTAGAAAAGAAGTAAGTTTGTTCCATATAGAAGCAAACCAAATCAAATCTCAAGAAACGTGAAGCTTTGGAAAAATACCAATTGGATAATTAAAAAAAAAACCCAGATCCATTAGATCACTTCTTAAGATAAAATATGTGCGTAAAATATAAACATTGTCTCCAAGTAAACTTGATTTTCATAAAGTGTCGAAGAAATCATCTCACATGTACTTCAATTAATTTTCTTATTTGAACAAGTTTAAGCCCTGTTTAACGGAGATTAAAATTAGATTTTGATAAAAGTTGATAAAATATATGGTTAAAAAGATGTGGTCCCATTAAATATGTAGTTAATATTATTGTTAATTTTGACTCAAATTAAAATATACATTTTAATTTCTATCAGATAGATGCTTAATTTTATTGGTTGCATACTATCAATTCGGGCGTGCACGCTCAACACCAATCGATACAAGGTTGTGCTCAGTCCGTCCCAAGAGCTCGACCAGAACATGTAGCCTACAAGGATTCATTTGGCTTATGCTTAAAAAATAAAACCCGTCCAAATTCGTGCTATGTCGCGACCTTAAAAAAGGGAATGCATTGGAGAAAGAGTGGTCTAGGATTAGCAACTTCACAATCGACTACTCAGCACAGTACGGTTCGATTTACACCTCTGGAGCCAGCCTTCATTTATTCATATATGGTGAAGAAAGGTGAAGAATGATGCAAATTCAAGCAAAAGCAACCAAGTCACCATGCATGTCAATATCCATTTCCAGCAAGATTGGATATCCAGCTCACTGATTGATCCACGTGTCAGATTTCCCATTAAATAAACACAAATTGCATACTCACCGTATATTAATACCCCATCTTGCTCCAATGCACTCTTTCCCCATCTTTCTAATTTCTCATTATTGTCATCATAAACTTTAGTCTCTGCACCATTAACAAGAAAAAAGAAAAGATTTTGACAGAAATTTTAGCCAAAATGACTATGATAAGTGAAGAACACAAGAAGGAAAAGTTGGGTTTTGAGGAAACTGAGCTGCGTTTAGGATTACCTGGCGGAGGAGGGATTGTTAATGAAGATTTGGTTAAGAATACTAATGCAAATGGTAAAAGATGGTACACAGAAACTGTGGATTTGAAGCTCAATTTTGCTCTGAAGGAGACTGAGAAAGGGGAGAACTTGCAGGAAGAAAAGAATCTCATTTCTTGCTCTAATGATTCAGTCAAGCCACCTCCCAAGTAACTGACTTTTATTTCTCGTTATTTACTTTATTTTTCTTAAAGATTTGAACTACTCTTAATATTCTAGTTTTGAAATTTTTAACATGAATTAAGTAATACTTTAAGGGCATGATTGGTATGGGATATTTGATATGAATGGACTTTGTACATTCGTTTCCTACTTCCAGGTCGAACGATATTAATTTTCGTTTACCTCTCCAATCGAGTAAATTAAGTAGGACTCATTAAATTTCTGAAGTACTTAGCTGTTTTTGAGCTCTCTGCCTTGAATTCTTGTTTCAAATAAGTAATATGAACTGAATGCTATTAATCCAGGGCACAGGTTGTAGGGTGGCCACCAGTTAGATCGTTCAGGAAGAATATTATGGCTGTTCAAAAGAGCAGCTCCGAGGAGGGAGGTGGTGGCGCCGCCACCTTTGTAAAGGTTAGCATGGATGGTGCACCTTACCTTCGCAAAGTTGATTTGAACATGTACAAAAGCTACCAAGATCTTTATGGAGCCTTAGGCAAAATGTTCAGTTCCTTTACTATGGGTATGTGATCTGTATTAAATGTATAGAGATTTCGATAATATTCAAGTATTCGTATTGTATAATTATTTGTTTAAGTACATAATGTTAAGACTTGGGGTCCATCTTAATAAGGTCAACCTTATTAAGAGGAGTGTCCCAATCCTTTATATATTGGTCATTATTTCGGTATTTTACCGATGTGGGATTATATTCCCTTAACATGCCCCCGCAAGATGGTGGCTCGTTTGAGCAGACCAATCTTGAAATCCGTGTGCTCATTTTTAGAGACTTAATCGGATCGAATCGCTCGTTGGAGCTTAATGGGCTCTGATACCATGTTAAGACTTGGGGTCCATCTTAATAAGGTCAACCTTGTTAAGAGGAGTGTCCCAATCCTTTATATATTGGTCATTATTTCGGTATTTTACCGATGTGGGATTATATTCCCTTAACACATAAGGGGGATTTTGTTGTTTGATCTAAATACATTTACTGATTATGCTGAAGGTATATGTGATTCTCAAGGAATGATAGATTTCATGAATGAGAGCAAGCTTATGGATCTTTTGAATGGTTCTGATTTTGTTCCAACTTATGAAGACGAAGATGGTGATTGGATGCTTGTTGGGGATGTCCCGTGGGAGTAAGTTTCTAACATACTCATCTGTCTTCTTTGGGTTTTTGGGCATCCAATACAAGATTTAGCCCCTGTTTGACAACCATTTTTGAGGTAAAATGAAGTTTTGAATAGTAATGTTTTAAAGAATGTGTGGTTAAAAAGTACGAAAATTTTGAATTTTCGTGCTGAATATTTTATTGTGTAAATGTATAATTGAAAATAAGTATGTAAAAAAAAGAATTTTGAAATAATGATTGTCAAACGGGGCTAAATTAGTACACTTCGCTCCTGTTGGATAACTATATTTTTCAAACTTTTTTCTTCTACATATTCATTTTTAACCACACATTTACACAATAAAATATTTTGCACGTAAGCTTAAAAATTTTCTTTATTTTTTAATTACACATTCTCCTATAAATCACTATCCAAAATTCTTTTTTTTTTTTGGAAGGTAACGTTGTCAAACAGGAGCTTAAATGAATGCATTTGGTTTCGCTCTAATAGGACGAGTTACTTGGTATCAAAGCCACGCAATTGACCTAAGTTCAAGTCTCGTCATCACCCTTTTACTAAAAGGCGTACACATGTTAGATTTAATTAAAAAAAATTGAACTCGGCCTACACATATGGGGACGTGCTGAAAATAAAATTTAATTGAAAGCGTTCGATCCACCTGTGATAGTTGAATCTCTTAGATGAGTAGATTTAGCCCTTATTTGTCATCCATTTTCTCTCATTATTTTTTCTACAGTACTCATTTTAAACCATACATTCTTCATTAAAATAATATTATACGTAAATCAAAAACTTTTTCTTCTTTTTTAACCATACATTTCTACATCAATCACTATTCCATAATACATTCTTCCCAAATAATCGGTGACAAACACACCCTTAACAGGTGGAAGGGAGTACAAGTATAGGAGTAAATGTACTAAGGATAAATTTTAATGCAATTGAAACAGGATGTTTGTTGGATCATGCAAGCGCCTCCGCATAGTGAAAGGAACAGAGGCAATAGGACTCGGTTAGTATCCTCGACCAATTCTTTTGTTTTTCCCTCAATAACTTGTAGATTTTGTCGTATGCCTCTCTTTCTTAATTTTGTACTTTATTGTTCACTTCAATTGTATGCATCGATTCCCCTCATGCCCCTAACATAATAATTTATACTCCGATGGCTCGAATATAATTGTACATTTCGAATAATTTGACATTACAAAATAAGTGAAACCATGAATTTGAGTTGCAGCTCCTAGAGCCGTGGAGAAATGCAAGAACAGAAGCTAAAGTAGTGAATTGCAGCAAAGCCTGCTCTTTTGTTCTCTGTGGTCCAAAGGCAAAAGGCACAAACGCAGGAGAATGTTGGATTATGTTTTTCTTATATATCATATGGTTTGTTGTAATTTATTGTTAATCAACAGTGCTGAAAGTTTCTAAGTATTCATTATTATGGACATAAACAATAAATATATTTGTGCTTAAGACTATTTGACTAGCTTGTTTATCACCAATAATGCCATAATCATGTACTTGTTTAATTATTAGACTGTGTTATTGTACTCCTTGATATCTTGATTTATATGTGGAGTTCACAGATTTGTCTATAAACTGTTCAATCATTTCCTTGACCTTTCAAAAATCTTCTTTAGTAATTAGTTCTACTTTATGTCATCTTGCAAAAATCCAGCTCAAAAGTTGCATGAGATACTAGAGGCTATTTTGGCAAGACTTTTGAAAAGTTAAACGTTATTTCTCAGGCTAAAGATAAATTTTTGGACATGTTTGCATAATTTTCTAAAAATGATTTCTCTTGCTAGAAGAGCTTAAAGTGAAATTTGACACAAAGAAACTCTACTACGAGAAGTAGATACAAAAGCAAAAATCTTGTCAAACGGGTCCTAATTATTGTTCTGTTTAATGATTTTTTTTTTTTTTTTACGTAGAATATATCGTATTCTTGTTCATTATAATGTCTCATCTCAGTTAATCTTTTGCCGAGTGAAAGAGGAGACAATTTGTGGAAGCATGGAGCAATGTCATGTGCATGTTAAACAGAGCATTTAATTTCTCAGCCCATTTTTGTTGGTGGGTTGGTTATATTCCTAAGCTTATAACATAATATTATTCAAGTACAATGCATACATAATAGTGAAAACAAGATGGAGGTTAACCATTATAACCAAATCATTTTGCTCCTTCTGCTCTCAAAGCAAGATAGTCATACTCATACATTATGCATTTCATATTTATAAACACAAATCTTAGTACTCGTGAAAATCTACATCTTCATATCCAAATTCATTGATCCAAACGTTATCTATGAAATATAAGTCGAAATAGAAAATGGAAGGCTTATAATTTAACAATTCATGTTCATGTCAACAAATCCCATCGAGTATCTAAATTTATTCGACTGCGATACAAAAATACGAACTTCTATATAAGTAATGGTATCTATCTAGATTTGGCAAATTTGATTAGGACTCATACTTCTACTTTTTCATACCTACGTCCTCAACTTCCTTCGTCGCATTTTTATCTTCAACCTTATATTAATCAACACATCTTGTCTTTGATGACAATTTCTCTCCAAAAAAATCTGTTAGGAGAGGCATAAAAAGCGATATCTGCCATTTCTTTTTTAAAAAAAGAAAAAAAAAGGTTTTGACAAAATAATTTTTCTTCATTTCAAGCAGAATATTTTGGACAGAATCAGAAACAAATGCACTAATTAATTGAAAGTTAATGATAAGAACGAACCAAAAAGTTAGAGACAACTAAGAAAATGAGGAAAGCTAGGGGAACTTATGTTACAATTAAAATGTTATGTAGTGAACAAATGTTGTGGCGTGAATATAATAGCCCACTAGTTTTGACTCTGAAACCATATGGTAATTCACATAAGATCAATAGAAATAAGACTTTGTACCTCTAATGTACTTGACGCGAATTTAAGCTCGCATGCTTAAAAGTCATAATAGACTAGGATGAGAGCCTTTAACCTCTAGTTAAAATTTTACTTGATCCTTATATAGATCAGACCATAGATAGACATAACGTGCATATTACCTTTATGGCTTGTTCAGAACTGTCTAGTATTAGACAGTATTGATCGTACATGTATCGGCAAATGCAAGATGTATGTTTGAAAAAAAGAATCCAAACAGTACTCCATCCCATGCTTCACTAATGGATGCATAGAATGCTTAGCTTTGACGGTTCTATTTTATGAAGTAAAACATATGCAAAGCAAGCCAACCTGAAAAAGAACAAATGTCGGGGGTAGATAAACATGTTTCATGTACAACAAATGCTGGCCACAGAAGGATAAAGTAGCCATCTATTCATTCTTGTACTATGCCCTCTGCTAAAAGAACTTGAAGAGTAAGGTGATTTCCTACTCACTGATTGTTACTCGTTCATTAGTATTGCAGCTTTATTCTTCCCTTTCCCATCGTAACTGTTCTAAGTAGGACATTGAGAGCTTACCAAATGAGGATCAATTCAGCACCTCAATTTTGTGATTGCACAGCTTGGCGCACTGGCTTGCTTCTAATTAAGGGTCTTGACTCTCAAACTTAAACTTGGAGGTACGAAGGGCTGAAACACAAGCGTCAGAAGCTAGTTTCTGGAAAGCACGATTATGACTTCCAAGAAAGATGTAGCTTTCATTTATCTGCGATGTGAAGGTTGATATAAATATAACTTCATAATTTATAAGGGAAAAAATGAGGATTTTCAAGTCAACCACTGTCAGATGGGTAAATTTAACATTTGTATGCACAGTAAAAATATGCTTCTTTCATGAAAAGGAGAACATTACGGATTAGTGTGGTATTGTGATCTTACTGCAGGTAGAGATAGAATCTAATAGGGTATAGACAAATTTTTGGAAGTTCTAACACGAAGTTGATTAAAAGATAATCACTAGATTATAAGGCAAAAAACAACACGTGAAGCAGCTGTAAGAATATTTTCTTTTGTCCAAGTAAAAATATTTCAAGAGAAATGTTGATTGCTTTCTTTTGCTCAACTTCAGAAGTACAGAGAACAGCTGACCAAACATGAAGATCACGCATATTTATTCATGAAAACTACAATGCACAGTCAATGAACAATCTACTGTGTGAGAAAGAAGGGATTTTGACAATTCTATTTTCCTATTCTAGTAATAGGAAAAGGGATTCACCTTGAGAAGTCAACGGACTTGATAAGCAGATCTGCATTTTTCTTTGACTTGATTATGAGCTCAGCATTAGGCCTGTCATTGTAGTCTATCTGCATAATGAATTAAGTGACAAAATGTAACACCTCAAATTTTTATTTACTATTTCCATATATGCCTAAATTTAATGTTAGTCATTTAGCAAATGGAATATTTCATGTCTAGCCTTGTAAGTCACACTAAAGTTCCTAAGTTAAAGCGATAAGTTCCACCCTCTTATTTGCATAAATGATTTATTTTCTTGTGTATTTTTATAGAATTTATTGTAAATTTTATTTATATCGAATATTTAAGTATTATAGAAGTTGATAACACAAATCAAGTACTATACTCATTTTGTAGCTCGTGTTAAATAACAAATTGGGCTCAAGAAAAATTAATTTTAAACTAGTTATGTCCGAGTTATTTTTATAGAAAGAAAAGTCGTTTCCTCCAGTATTTTATCAATAAAAATAAGACTTTTATGAAATTCACGGTTAGTCACTAGAGCAAATGAAAAGGTAATGTAGTCATTAAATCAATTAAACCTAATTAACCCATTAACCTTGATAGTAAGTGGATTAATTAACCTCGTTAATTCTTATTTAACTTGAAAATGCGATTGAATTGTTGGAGTTACAGTATGAGGATATGAGAGAATATATATATTTTGAGGTGAGAGTTATTTCTTTTACCATATAATTTGATTGTGCACATTTCCCACTTTTGAAAGAGAGTATCATATCACAAGCCATATTTTCAAGGCATATTTTCAGAATTTTTGATATCAATTGAGGTAAGAATACATGACGCGGTAATAAATTCTTATTTTTCTAGACATCTATATAATTATGGCATGAAATACTTTATGGCCTCTGTGTAGATTTTTATTTAAATCATTTGTGATAGATCATTAGGTCCAAATGTAAATCCTATAGGATATGAGAATTCTAAAAAAATTCCTTGAGCTATCTAATATTGTGATTAGTTGTTCTAAATTTAAGAATTTAGAGAATGTTATGTCAATTTATATTTATATTATGTTAAATAAGAATTTGCACATATTTTTACTGAGTGCTTTCAAAATACTCTCTTACAATAAATTTCATATTAGAACCATCGTGTTGGAAGCTTGGAAGACTAGACGAGTGATTCTTATGGGTTGTCAAGTAAAATTTTGGGAAGGATTTATGGCTAATTTTTATTTTAAGAATATTTTTATGTTTAATTAAGTGCACTTCATTTTAGTAATTTTGACATTTGAACCTTGTTAGCATCTCATGTTAAATTTGACAATTGAAATCGTGTTATTTTAACATTTAATTATATATAAAAATTTCTCACTTAAATTGTTGAATTAAATTATTGATTCGATCCAATACCAACATTTGTACAATAGTGTTAAATTCCGCTTAAATTAGGCCCTTGTTTGGTCTCCATTATTTTCAAAATATATTTTTCTATCTTATTTTCAACCACACATTCTTTAATAAAATAATATTACATGTAAATCCAAATTTTTTTTCATATTTTTTAACCACACATTCTTCATCAAAATACTATGCATTTTGGGCAAAAAATGGGGCTCAAGCAGGCTGTAGTAAGGAAGATTTTAGTGACACTTCAAATCTTTGGGTTTTTTTTTTCTTTTTTTTTTTTTAATATAAATATTAGATTTGGGGCATTACACAAAAACACTTAATATTAAATATATTCAAAAACCTCGATGTATCAGATAAATGATCGAGAAATGAAGGTCAAAGCTTACCCGCCATTTAGCAACATCAGGAGGCTTTCCTACAATGGAATGCAAATGAATGAAATAAATCTGTATTCTTAAATAGAATTTCCTTGTATTCACCGGGATAAAATGAACAACACTTTGAGTATACCTGTTGATATATGCCTTCTCACGACCCGTTGCATTGCTTTCTCAATGTCAAGATCAATGAACCTTGCAAGCAAATTGTATAGTCCAGTAAGTAATTTCTTATGATTTCAGAACCTTCATGTTTCTATCCAACAAAGCAACAGAGCTGAAGGCACAGAAATCATGGAATATACTTCAATTTGTGCCACTAGGGAGAGAAGTGTTTTTAAATGGGAGCTCTACCCCTAATTGAAGGGTTAACAATCAGTCAGACACTACAAAGTATTACCAGAACATTGCTACAGTAGTTGCAAACAACGCCATTTGTTTTGTTCTTTCTAGAATTTGGATCCTTCCCATGAGAGGTATCAAGATCATAGCATTAACCAATAATACACAAATGTCAAGAATTTCTAGCTAAAAAGGGTATACCATCACACAAGTGAGGGCCATCAAACAGCATTTCAAGGATCAGCAGAGTGGTTTTTCAAGACTATTGAGTAAAGGAAGAAATTTTAACTATGATGGTAAGTATTACCATTTCTCATCAAAAATTGATGAGATATCTTTCCAGACCTCCTCGTCCAAGAACAAATAATTACCTTCAACTATCACTACTTTGTGCCTGAAACAAGGCAAAAGTAAAAAAATGATAATCTGCACCAGAATCTGATAAATGACGGATAATTAGCAGCCCATTAATTCAATTTTAATCCATTCACTTAGAAGTAGGAAAATATAATTGAGAAATAGTTTGGCAGTACAAGATCCAATAGAAGTACTGCCTCATGCATAAATAGAACCCAGTAATTTGATTTTAATACATGCACGTAGTAGGAAAATATAATTGAGAAATATTTCGCCAGTACAAGATCCAATAGAAGTAATGCCTCATACATTTATGACTGATAAGGACTATAATGTTAAATTGGATATCAGACATTAAAGCAGACTTTGAATACTCTGGAGGTACTGATAGAATCCAAGCATGACAAACATTGCAAAACCTGATTAAGAACAGCTTTAGTATTAATTTCATTCTAATGTGGTGTTCTGATATAACTTCTGTACAACTTCACACTAAACTAAATTTAGTTCTCAAAAAATCAATTCAACTCAGCGTAGCAAAGTCACATCCCCATAACTAAGTTCTCAAGAAATTTAGATAAAATAATGGTTTATGGAAAATGCCTATTTGTCGCTTGCTATTATCAGTTTTTAATTCCCTGTCAAGAAGACTGCCAGAAAGTTCTATGGTGCTTGGACACGAGTATAGGTGTCGGATACGGGTACATATCTAGGAGTTGGATTTTTCTCATTTTAAAAATTAAGATATGGGGATACGATTAAAAAATATCCAAATTTTGGACACGGTTATGGGGATACATCTTACAAAATTAAGATTTTTATCTGTTGTGGAGACAAATATCAACAATTAAGGTTGTCCATTTGAAAATGATAAGTCACTTTTTAATAATGTATATATGTCTATGGAGACAAATATAGAAACAAATATATTTATTTTATGTAAAGACAAATCCTATCTTATATAAAACGAATTTCAATGTATTAAAATATATATGAACACATGCATCAACTTATCTACTATAAGTAAAAATAATAATAAAAAAAAAGCTTCTTTTTTTCCATATATATATATAGGCTACTTGTGTACATTTTACGTATTAAACAATTTAGATTGGGGTATTCAATAATTCATGTAAGGATAGCTTTCAATATTTATACTTCGTCCGTAATATATTTATCATGAATGCATTTTAAGCCTTCTGACAGATTTAAATCACTCAAATTGGATAATTGTAGCTTAAACTCTAGAGTCAAACAAATTTAAAATTAAATATTAAACTAATCTTATCTTAAATAAAACAATAAACCACGTCAATTACAATAAATAATACAACCTGGTAGAGACTAGAGACAACCCTAATTTATGGCAGTATGAATTTTTGATTTTTAAACCACTTAATTATACTCATTTCATTAACTTATTCATTGGGCTCCACAAAAGCCCATTTAACACGTACCCAAAACCTATCATCTTCTCCAACTCTCATCTTCCCTCTCTGCAATTCTATAACCGCTGCAATTCCGTTCCTCCATATATTTCTTCATATTACTATCACAAGACTCGAAGTAAACGGGTTTGCTGCCGCCACAACCGCAAGTCAGAAGCAGTACTCCACTATCCAATGTCTTCTCCATTTTCCAGCCGTGTCCGAGTTCAAAGCCAAGAATCCGACCCATATGCCGTGTCATGTCTTATCGACACAGATACTTCCCCATTTTTTGAGAGTCCGAGCAACATAGCCAGAAAGAGAAAAATTCCCAATATTATCAATTTGCCATGGTACTCGGGAAAACCATCTCAGTAAACACATAGGAGAATTGAGCCAGCAGGTCCCATATAGTGATTTACAAGTGAAGAAGTCTATCTTCTCCGCCAACCCGACAAAGGCAAAATCATATTTTCTGCCCTCCAGTAAACTTGCTTCATTTAAAGGGTCCAAAATGGAATCCCAAAGGTTCTACCATGCACGTCGTCGATATTTCTACTAGAATATGTAGAGTAACTTCCATCCTTTCGCCAATATAACCTCATAGTGATATTTTTTTGAGTTCCACATAAAAATAATTTAGCTACATATTTATTATAAAATAGTTTTACCACATTATGATCCTGACCAGTGGACTTTATAAAAATCGGAATCAGTTCTTGATTTTTATGTTGACATTCATTTTTCTGGGAAAAATAACGAATGTAGATAAAAATCTCATTTTGTTCGAAGGAAATTAATTTTTGCATATTCGCCTAAATCCAAATGTTCGAATATTTTTTATCTATAATTGTTTGAAGAATTTATTTTGAGCAAAATTACATGAAAAGTGTTATGAGCCGCCATTCCGATAATTGATGATAATTCAATTCTAGGAAAATGCCAAGTTTGCCACAAAATATGAAACAGATAATGAATCCCAAGACAACACTTGAAATCTTTCCTTCTATCCAGTGTACAATGTTCATCCTCTTAAAAAGAATCGCTTGAGGGTAATTTTCCAAAACTCGACGGTTGGATTCAAATTGTAATATTATTGAGTTGCGTGGACTCGCCAACTCAGACGAGTTTTTGACTGAGGGTGGAAAATACATAAGAATTTCAGTTAGACCATTGATCAAGGATAATTGAGACTGGGGACAGACCTATTGGGAAGACTGGAAGGAGCCTTCAAAAACATTTGATCTAAAACAATGACCTACTCATTGTAAAGTAGTCACCTTCTATAAAGTGCAAACGGGGAAAAAAAGGATCGTCATTTTGCAACTTAGATTTAGTTCTTTGCTCCCTACTTTGCAATTCTCAGTTGTTTGTATTCCGCAGTTCACCAAGAAAAGTCAAGAAGGGGATTAGAAGAACCCAAATATCTATAGCAATTCACTGTGTTTCAAGATTTGACACTTCTCCCTCAATAATTTTGTTACTAGACTCAGTTTTCCAGGCTTGCTATTGATAAGGAATTGGATGACATCTTCCTTGGCTCAGTTGTCGTATTTCTCCTGATTTCGCTGTCAAAAATTTTAATTTTAGAGGAATGTAATTTTCAGTTTTGTAGATACAACAAAGGCTGAGGGTTCAACTGAGTTTCTTGCCGACTCAGCAAGATGACCGAGTTAATCCCCTAATAAGAAGAGAACACTTACAGTGTCCACCAAGTTGTGTAGTTTTTGGCGATCTGAGTTGACTCGAGCAAGTAGTTCCAAGTCAACTCAAGTTTAAAAATAACTTATTAACTGAGATCAGAACATGACTCTTATGTTTAAACAAGGGAAAGTGGATCTTTGAGAATCCCAATTCTCAAGAACTGAATTCTTAAAATTTCCAACTTTGAAATAATTCAAGTCCTTATAAAGTGAACTGACGAGGAAATGCGACACAAACACAAAGAAATAGGCTTCCCAATGTTCATGCTAATGCGGCCAAGGTTAGGAACAGAAACTCCTACTGAAATGGCTGGTGCAATTTTCCTCCTAAAGGCATGATTCAGCAGCTGAGCAACCACAAAATATTTATGAAAAAGATAACACATAAAAAGAACAAGGTCTGCTGGATTCAAGGGCTTAAGAACCTTGAATTTTTAGTCTAGTTTCAGCAGTAGAATTAATGAACAAAGATACAGCATCCAACCCCTTAAAGAGCTATTAATAAGCACTGAACCCCTTAGTGCCATCCAAATGATTCAAAAGAGCAAAATACCCTCCTTTAAGTGACTTTGTACCTATCTCCTGACCCTCTAACATAAAGACAAAACACTACTTCACTCATTCTAACTACTAGAAAGATGGAACAAATAAAACCAATTTAACATTAGTCCAATAAAAACCAAAAAGAGAATATATTAAATCATGAGATCCGTGTCTATTTTATCATTTAGTTACCCTGCATTTCAAGCACACATTAGGCACCATCGTGCCATCCTCTAATGACTAGGACACTGGGTTAGTGTACTCTGGCTAATGAAGAACACAATATCCTTTGTTCGGACAAGATGCTATTTGGAATCTTATACTGGACTCAAAATCGTTTGGATGGTGGTGTGATAGCAATAAATGGTGTGACTAACTTATGATCTAAGGTTGGATTTCTTGAACAGTCAATTAATTCGCGAAGTTTTTGAATTAGTGAAGTTTTCTTCAATAGCAAGTTTGTTGATCAATTCCTCTTTTTTTTTCTTTTAAGTTGCAGTCATCTATCTTCCATGCACTTGCCAAGGACTTAAAACACCTTTTGAAACTGAATCCCTTTCAGCTATTTTTAGCTGAATCAATAACATTTCAGGTATAAAACATGCTTATGGGAGGAGGAAATTAGTTAGCCCTGTCTGGAGGAGATGAAAATCAGATTTTTAGTAAATTTTGATAAATGTTGATGAAATGTGTGGTTGAAAAGTTGTTGCTCCTATGAAATATGTGGTTATAAATTAATTATTGACTTTGACTTTGACTTATATTAAGCCCCTGTTTGACCCACATTAATTTTCATTCCATTACATTTCATTTTTCTCTCTCCTATTTTTAACCACACAATCTTCCATAAAATAATATTACACGTAAACCGAAAATTTTTCCTTCTTTTTCAACCTTTCATTTTTAAATAAAACACTATTCCATCCATTTTCATTAACACAAAATGGGGACCAAACGGGGACTAAACTGGGGCTAGAAATATCCCAAGTCCTTCAAGTTTCACATGCATTGGAAAACCATCATGCAAAGACAACTAAAACTTACTGAAGGTTCACAGAGATGTCATCTTCAACAGGATCTCCAACACCATGGTCAAATGATGGGGCATACACTGATCCCTGAAGAAGAATACAACATGGGATAAATATGTGCAATAAGCAGGTTTGTTCATCCAGCACAAATTACCGACTTTTAGGATAGTCTGGCAGAAAATGCAAACACAATGCCAGAAGTTATTCAATGCTAATGTCACATGTGTCCATTTACTTATCCCAACAGATAATTATTCACCTGATTTTTCAAAGTCGTCAAACATCTTAGCAGTAGTTCAGGGTCAAATGTCCATGGAGCTGATTCACCAGCAAAAAGATCAATGCTTTTCTTGCATACAAGACTTAAAATAAGCTATTATAAGAAGAAAGAAACTCACCTCCCCTTCTCGCATGAGCTTCCTTTGGATCCTAATAAGCAAGACACAAGTTCAGTTACCGGAATGCCAAACAACACTTAGTAATAAAATTGAAAAATATTTCAAGGCTGTGTAAGCTCCAACTGTAATAAAATTTCACACATGATATAAGGAAATTAGAAGTTTCGTGGACATGATCTCATAATAAATTAAGAATTTGGGCAAAATCCTTCAGGATTTCTTTACTGTCGTGTATTTAGATACCATTAACATCAATGAAATTTCATCCTCATACATTTCATAAAATATAGGAGCTGCACCTCGTGTTAGATTCATCACATGTTTTCACAGCCCATTACCAATTGCAACTATAAATAAACAGGCTGTTGTCACAGAAGTATAAGATATATTTTAGGTATATCAACATCATTATGATGCAGGAGCATCTAAGAGGCTTGCTAGAGCTGGTCAGATCTGCTAATTACTAGTTGGATATGTTTGCATTGGATTCTTTATTTAGTACTTACTTTCTTGTTTTAATTCGTAAGTCTTCTGTTTAGTTTAATATTTCATTATTTAAAACAAAAAGACGTGTGCTTGTCAAGGGATTCATTAGAAGTACTGCTCTTTCTTATCTTTTAGCGAGATACAGATAAGTCGTACAACAATTACCATGATACCATCAATGTAACAGTAGTATTCAATTTTTTTGCAGTAAAATTTATTAGCTTTCTTAGGGACTCTTTCATCCTAGAAGGGTGATCTTAAACGTTGCTTCTTGCCTTCTTTATTGGTAATCAATTCATTGTCGACTCTCACTTCCCTGTCACTTTATATTCCTCAATTAACTTCTAAATTGGTATTTGGGCTATAAAAGGTATTGCTTTTGCTTCCTATATATTAAGATGTAGTAACATACAATGAACTTGGCAAAGGTGTGTAAAATGCGTGCATTCTTACATAATTGGACTATCAAGACAAGAGAATGAAAACTAACGTGGATACAAACCCTAAAACTAAAACAATAAGAACATGAACCGTATTTCATGCTCATAGTTAGCGACAAACTTAGTTCATAACAAAGCATCATAATTTCTCACAGTAATGCAAAATACTGTCCAAGAGATGAAAGCAGACAAATATTGTAATGGGCATTTTATAATTTAACCTCCATCGCATCAAGTTGATGACGATAAAGGTGGAATCCATCCATGGGAAGTACAATTGCAACTTCTGGGGTCTCAACTTGAGAATCAAAGGAACAAGATTTTTGAGGCCACAATTTGTTGACACGGCAAGCAACCTCAGATGCAAGAGTGCTCTTTCCAGCGCCAGGAGGCCCAGCCAAGCCAATAATAAGCCTGCATATTCAAGAGGATTATTAACTATAAAGAGCATATTTGTGAGATCAGTAGAAGAATAGCACACTAGTACAAGAAAGTTGTCATCATTACCATGAAACACATAAAACAATTAGGTTTTAACCTGTTTAATTATGCCCGAGTAGTTATTGATCCCTCAGGTTCAAAGACCAAATAAACCAGGCACATGCGAACAATGATTAGGAGTAGAACTGGGAATCTTTGAGTAAAATTGGAAGTTTGTCAGCAGTTTTACAACCCAATGTTGTAATCAACTTTTAATCCCAGTATGTCAATATAGAGGACGTACAAATTTTCTCTCCAAGGACATTCTTAAACATAAGTGACATTCAAATTGTTCAATTTTATATCATATACTCATCCATAAACAGATAGAAATTGATCCTGCGTGTTTTTTCTCATTTGAAAGATCTTTAATAGCAATGCCATGTGATGAGGACATCTTTTATTTTATAGTCATCCTTTCATCCTGCATCACCATGTATTCCTCGGAATGAGGAATGGCCTCCTTCGATTAGAAAGGCAAGTGGAAAAATTAGTACCACAAGCCACCAATAAGATATTTTGGTGGTTTTCTTCTGGAGAACACGGTGGAGGAAAAAGAATTGGAGGGAAGAAACTAAAATAATAAAATTGAAAATACTAGAAAATTTCCCATGGAAATATATCCTACAAAAGAGGGTCCTAGATAAAGCAGATAATATGTGCATCCATCTATACATAGGAACAGAAACATCTAGGTCACAAAGCATAGTTTTCAGATGAAGCCAGAACTCACTTAAAATTGGGATTTGCTGCTGCTGCTGCAGTCGGAACAAGGCGTTCAGCCAAGGTATCATAGATTTCATCCATGCACCTAATAAGAATGATTGAATTCACACTAGGATCAGTGGAGTGCAATTATGCAAATAAAAAAAAAGGTGCACATCCAGTATACATAACTGTGTTGACAATTCCTCCTCATAGAGACCAAATACATGGTTATGAAATTAAAGGGAAATCTACTATGAGGAGGTGTAGCAACCAGCTACCCCAATTTTCAAATCCATCTCCTCATTTAGTCACCAAAATAATGACTTGATTTCGCCCTTCTCTTGCCACGTCTTAATTTCACGACGGGAAAAAACAAATATTAAATTATATATTTCAAAAGATTGCTGAACTTTAAACTGGTCCTTTTTGAACTGAACAGAACCCTGATCTTAAGGGCAATCTATGAATCATAGAACAATGAACATGGATAATAAATTCACCAAACTGTTAGATGCACAGTAAAACATAAATTAAGCATGCACACGTAAAAGAAGGATATGGAAACATCATTAAATCCTAAAGCCTAGTGACTAACTTAAAATGTCTGCTCGGGAAAATATGTCTAGATAAAAATCCAGATGTCTATACCAAATCTATTGACTGAAAATACAGAGTGCAGTCACAGTACCAAATTGTAAAATAAATTCAACTCTAGGAAAGATAGTGTACCCCGCATCTATTATAGGAATTTCCTTCAGTTGACAACGTAAAACCTACAATAGAATTTTTGTTTTATCAATACAAAAATGAATTTGCAAAATAAAAAATGATATTGTGTTTATCCGATAATTTCAGTAAAAAAGTACCTGCAAATGATTTTGCTTCTGGATCTGACCCGCTAATGGCCTTAAGGCCGTCTTCGTTGGCAAAAACAGAACTTGATTCCATTTTCGAAACCATGTCCTTTTCAGAAGCAATGCCTCTACATCGATCATATAAGAAGCACCATGCAGAAAATTAAAGGGCAAAACACTAGAACTTAGACTTGAAAGTTGAAATCATGTCCTACTCAGAAGCTGTATTTCGCATAGTTCTTTGTACTGTAAATTGTCCCTTTTTAACCACGAAAATGCAATTAACAAAAATTGATGATAGAGACAAAAATACATCGTCTTCTGTTTGATATTATTTGAAACGCATAATAATCGAAAGATAATTGCATCATCGTTCCATCTCTTCATGTACCAAATGGTTTCCTTCTTACGCTATATCATCATCAATTAACAATTATTATACAAATTTCTCATAAAAAATTTATTAAGTTAAAATTGTTTATAATCTGGGCTGTTTCATCATTAATAAATGAGAGCGGAACCTGATGGCGATGGCGTGGAGAGAAGCGATCTGGAGCCTATCGAAAACGATGAGACCTCCATGGCAGAGCAAAAAAGTAGAGCGAGGAAGGAGTACACAGATTTTGTTTTAGCACAGTGTGTGTTTACACGTAGAGAGAATTGTAACACGATTTCAGCTAAGGTGACGTTTCTGTTGACCTTTTCTGAAGACGAGACGAGATTAGCCGAGGGATATAACCAGAGTTATCATACCAACTCCAACATCGACTGACCGAGTTTGGTGAAAAAATATTAGTTTTGTAAATATGTTTATATGAACTTTTACTCAAGTATTACAACTTTCTTATATCTTCTTAAATAGGACATTTAGTTAAAAAATTCTTTTTGATCCATCTTTTTTATAGAAGAATTTCAAAAAAATAAAAATAAAAATCCTTCATCTTTTTAAAGTCTTTCATAAATCTCTATAAAAATTTATTTATACAACTGTTACAACATTCAAATCACGGCTAAATATGATTGTAATAGAAAACTAAGTCACAAATATCGAATAACTGAAGAACAATCAGATTGTGATCAAAGAAAATATCAAATCAAATCACAAAATAATCGAAGAACAAATCAGTCACGACCAAAAAATGAGGTCACCATACAAAATCAAGTCACAATCATATAATAATCAAACAACAATTCGAAGAAAAATTGATTAACACAATGAAAATCATAATCAACTAAAAATTTTTTTGAATACAACTTACCTATTAACTCAATTTTTCATAAACATTGCATTTAACAGAAAATAAATATAAAAAAATAATTGATTTACCTCTTAGAAATATATTTTCCACTAAAATCATTACTTTTAGATTTTTCTAAAAGAACTTCTTTATGAGATTCTGTTATTTTTCTTTTATTAGCCTTGTGTTCATTCTTTGATAAGATCCCCATTTTACACTCTTAGGTAACATCATTTTACAATTAGTTTGTACGAATTTAGGGTTACTAGAAGACTAAACTATAAAAAAAAATTTATGAAATTTGAAATGAGGAAAACAAATTTAGCACTTTCATCGTCGATGAAGGCTTCGAATCTCTACTCTCTCTCGACGAACGTGATAGAATCGCTTGGACAAAGATTAGAGCTTATGTCTCAAGGGATATGGTAGAAGAAGAAGGAAATTTGAAGATTTTGAATAATTTCTCTCTCCTACTATGGATGATAATGTTGGTAAGTAATGTTTAGTTATTTATTAATTAATAATTTAATATTTAATATTTTAATTTTAAGAAATTAATATAACCTGATTTTTGTAACAATAAACTTAAAACTTATTTATTGAAATATAAAATCAAAAATCAAGGATATGTGTAATTTCCTCAACTTAAAATCTGATTTTTAAACTATAAGCTCAGAACAATATTTGTAATGGATAAAATCATATATGCCCTCTTATTAAAAAAGAATCCACTCTTTACTTTGTGATGGAAATATAACTATAGGTACTAACTTATATGTAAATTATTTCAAAAAATACTGATTTCTAAAAATATATATCCCAAACCACAATTGTAATTGACATATATTCAAATCAGTAGACTTCACGCTGGACATTCATGAATCTTCATTTTCAATTCTGAAAACAAAAGAAAAATGATAGAGACACCCTTATCTATTTTAAAGAACATATTGAACATCTTCATCTTTTAAATCTAATCAATTAATATACATCTTCTGGGATGACGACAAATTGTGTTGCACATTTCATACAACGTAATTTGGGTTTTTCTCAAGATCAAATATGCTATTTACTTTGTAATACCGTAAATACTGATATATGATATGTAATCTGACGAACTTCGAATACAATGGTTATATTGATTGCATGGTTTTTACTAAAAGACATGATATTGTCATTTGTATATTGTCATCTTCGAAATAAAATCTAGTAACAAATAATTGACATGCATCTTTATTGATATGTATGATGTGACTCTGTGTTTTAAATGATTTAATATTTCAAACAAGAATCATGACAGTTTGCCATATAAACTATCATTTGACAATTAAAAAATAAATAAAAATCCCTTCAACAATATTTTTAAATACAAAAAAATAATGTCAAGGACGATGTACACTTAGAGTGTACAAAATGGCATTTCCCTTCAAACAATGTTGGGAAATTCATCTTGGCATTTTGCATAATATCAAGAAATTGATTTTTTTTTTTAATAATGCAAGGGAATACAGTGCTTGAAATCTATATAATATCAAGTTCTAGTGTGATTTTATGGATTTCTTGAGTTGGGATGCTTTGGGAGGAATTGAGAAGTGGAAGAATGTGAATTACACCAATTGGGGGATTAAAGACGTGATTACATTTTGGTAAGCGCTTGTTTGGAGGAGTGAAATCAACACTTGATCTAATGTTTGTGTGAGTCGTTAAAATTTAATATTTTTCATTTTACTGTAATTAGTCAAAGTTGAACGTGCATTCCACATTATTTTGAATTACTTTATATGTGCTGTAAAAATAATATTTAATATCATTTTGTTGGAAGGATTTGATAAGTCTTAAATGTATTAAAGAAAATAAGATTCAGGATAGAAAGTTAATAGAAAAAATTGTACTCTCAAAAGCCAATTCTATGATTCAATTTTATTTATTTATTTATTTGGTATTAAATACTACAAATGATCAACATTTTTATACTATATTTGATACATAAGAATTAATTGTTAATACATGAATTTAAACGCTAATTAAAATTTTTAGATACATAAGTCGAAATAAAATCATCTATAATTATTCTAAATTCATATAGATCAAAATTCACCAAGTCAAGATTCATAATGTGAATGTTAAATTAATTGAAAATAATAACATGAAGTTCATACATAACAATGATTTTGTAGTATTTATTACATATTGAAAGACAAAAAGTAAGATATTATTGAAATAATTGAATTGTAGTATGGTTAAAATTTTCAAAAAATAATTCTCACTTGATGTGATATTTAATATATTATTATTATTATAGACTATCCCGTATTTATGGGGAAAAAAAGATGAAATACGATATTTAAATATTAATTAAATAATAAAAACTTGGTGCAATTTCCTCTGTTCATGAAGCCCAATTAAAAGGCAGGCCTATCAAAGGATAGCCCAAGTCTGTTTAGCAAGGGGAGCAGCCTAGGTTTTAATTCTCAGTATTTTACACTAAAAATTGGGAATATAAAAATCACGTCCCGGCACCAATTTATCTCGTGTTCCAGTGATTTCTTCTCAACTTCTTCATCACCAAATTCGGAAGGTAGTATTGAATTGTATTTCTGTGAAAATGGGCTTTAAATGTTGAAATCGACTCGATTTGTTTGTTGTGAATGATTCAATTTGAACTCGACTCCTTATGATTTATTTTATTTTTCCGGAATTGTTGTTTCTTGATGGTAATCTTTCTCTAGCAACAGTGATTATTTCAAAAATACCCAGGACCAAAATCCGGTGGGGGCAGTTGCCCCCTGCTGCCCCCATAGACCCCAGGTGGCTCCTCCCCTGATTATTAGTGACCAATGACTTCTGTACTGAACCAAATCCGTAGTCAGGATAGTGATGTACAGTTTTTAATTGCTTCTTGTTTGTGTTTGGGAGGAATGAGGACTACTTATTTGGAAATTGTGTTCAAGGTCTCTGTCTTGAAAGATATTATTTTTGAATTAATTTTGATTACAAAAGTACCTGTATCATGTTTGAAAAGAGATTATAAGATAGCCAAAGGAGCCTACTGTATATATTTCACTTGATTTTCCATTTATGTCAACTCGTTTTACCTTAGCTATTGGGATTGATCATCTTTATATCCCAGATTCATTTTGTAAACTAGAGCATTTTGAGCACTGCGCAATTTGACTTGAAATGTCCATTTGGTCTTTGTATCTGAGGAACATGACACGCTGAAGACATTCACAATTTTAAAATCAGTGTGCTGTAAGGCAAGAACCTGGCCACCCAAGCTGGTTTTTGCCCACCCCTTATTGCTTCTAAGTAATTTAAATATTTTTGTCATTTTATCGTTATTTCATTGGCTTTTCTACATTTTGCATATTTGTTTCACTTGGTTAGTCATGATGTCCTTTAACAATATGTTATTGTTGGTTTAGTTTTAGTTCCAAATCGCTTAAGTATTATACCTCCATTTTTTTCATTGATGCTATTGGTTTCAACAATGACTTGATGCTCCATTATTGAGAGGTATCGGCCATCAAATAAATGCATGGAGGTGTTACGGTTTATAGTACAAAATTCAATGATTCATTTTCATCATGTTGCAGACGGTGTAGATATGATGAGTTTGATTTCTCAAAATGCTATACCCAAAGAGGTAAAAAGGAATGCAAATAAGGATGGGACTACACTTGTTGGGGATGGAAACAAAGATGTTGAGGATGGACAGGAGCTTGATTTGGATGCTATAAAGAATCGAAAAAGAAGGAGAGAACGAAAGAAAAAAGATGAAGAATCAGAGATTGAGCAGGAGAGGGAAATGAAGAAGCTAGAGAACTTTTTGTTTGGCTCTTTGTACTCTCCCATTGAGTTTGGGAAGCACAATGAAGAAATGAGAGATGAGGTTGACAATAGTTCTGCGTTGTACTTCACGGACAGGTCAGCAAATAGTATGTTGTCAGTTTATGAAGAGGATGCGGGATTGGCAGAAGAAACAAGTGACGAAGAGGAAACTAAGCAAAGGAAACCTGTATGGGTAGATGAAGAAGAGGAGAAAGCCAGCATAAATATAGCTAAAGTGAACAAATTGAGGAAACTGAGGAAGGAAGAGGATGAGTGTGTAATTTCTGGTTCTTCATATGTGTCAAGATTGAGAGCTCAGCATGCTAAGCTGAACCCTGGGACTGATTGGGCACAACCTGATGTACGGGTGAGAGATTACAGCTCTGACGACGAGGATGTCGATAAAGAAAGTGGGGCAGTGGTGGCCTGTGGTTATGAGGATGCTGAAGGTGTTGATGATATCCTTAAAAGGAATGAAGATCTTGTTGTGAAGAATAGTGCAAAATTGTTACCAGGGCGTCTAGAGTATTCAAGGCTGGTGGATGCCAATATGATGGAACGTTCAAATGGTCCCGTAAAATCAGTGCAGTTTCACAAAAATGCTCAGTTGCTCCTTGCTGCTGGATTAGATAAGACAATAAGATTTTTTCAAATTGATGGAAAAAAGAATGCTAAAATACAAAGCATCTTTCTTGATGGTTATCCAATTTATAAGGCTTCTTTCTTACCCGATGGGTCTCAGGTTATTATATCGGGAAGAAGAAAGTTTGCTTATAGCTTTGATTTAGTCACGTCAGAAAAAAGTGTGATAGGCCCTCTAATTGGTAGGGAGGAGAAGAGCTTGGAAAGCTTTGAAGTTTCTCCTGATTCTAGTACAATCGCTTTTCTCGGCAATGAAGGTTATATTTTATTAGTTTCAACGAAAACTAAAGAACTCATTGGGACCTTGAAAATGAATGGGACTGTTCGTTCGGTAGCTTTTACCAATGATGGACAGCAATTGCTGAGCTCTGGTGGAGATGGGCATATTTACCACTGGGACCTGAGAACAAGGACTTGCTTCCACAAAGGAGTCGATGACGGTTGCATAACTGGTACAGCTCTTTGCACTTCCCCAACTGGAAATTTATTTGCAGCTGGCTCAGTCACGGGTGCTGTGAACATTTACGACAGGGAAGACTTCTTAGGTGGGAAGAGGAAACCACTCAAGACCTTTCATAACCTGAGCACTGAAGTGAATTTCATGAAATTCAACAATGATTCTCAAATGTTGGCTATCTGTTCGAACGTGAAGAAGAGCAGCTTAAAATTGGTTCATATTCCATCATTTACCATGTTCTCAAACTGGCCGCCATTAAATCAGACTCTGCTTCATACAAACTGTCTAGACTTCAGTCCTAATGGAGGTTTTATGGCACTGGGAAATGCAGCTGGAAAAGTTTTACTATACAAGCTTAATCACTACCATAATGCATAGTGATTTTTTCTATAGACCACGGTTCGTATATCATTTGTTGTTGATTTAAATGTTGTGTGAGCTACATTTCCATCCATCTGCAGATCATATATGCAGGAATTTTGTTCTTTGTTTTAAGTACCCTTTAGATTTAGACTAGAATTGATTGAGTTCAATCTAGTTTCTGTTATAAAATATGTTGTACTTCGCCTAACTGGATTAATTTTAGCTAGACATTGATACTAAGTTTTGTAGCGATAAATCTCGGCGTTCCCTGCACACGGGTTTTTTTTGGCATCAAAGGTACCTAATATATCTGTCAACAGTTAGTTTTATTTGGTTTTTGTACCCTGGATTAGACACCATGTCCAACAAAAGATGATTGAAGCTTGATTTGCAATATATTAGCCAAACGTTGCCAGGTGCTTAAACTTACTCGAATTTGATGTCTTCCTGTATATACTTGTTCATTATTAGAACCAGGCGATAACAGTTATAATTCAGATTAATGCTTTCAAGGTCATCAAGAATAACAAACTGGTAACATTAGCTTAGATCTGACCAACTCGATTATTTGTAATTGTAGTAGTACTAGCTAGGCGGATTGCCTATATCACGCAATTCACTCTCTAGAACATGAATGGTGGAATAAATCTTCCCCCTAACCCAAGAGGCGTACTAGCACCCACCAAGGTTTAAGTGAATTACGAGTAAAATCAATCAGAAAATCGAGCGATCTCCCCTTTCATGATGTTGTGATGAACCCATCATTTTAATGCAGTGCTGCAAAAATGGCAATAAGAACTTTTATCTTGACCAAGGAAGTAATGATGCGGAGAAAAACCTTATTTTACGCATTAACAAGACTGGGAGCCAGTTCAAATTTTGATATTGACATGTCGTTTTAAATTGAACACGTGAAGATAAAATGTGAGATTTTAAAATCAGCATTAATTTTACAGAAATATATATATAAACACGATCTTGTCATGTCACGGTTGCTTAACAACGTTGCTTAGCAAATCCTCTCTAAAAAAAACTTATCAAAAGGTGATGAAAAAACAATCTCGTGTCCATTATCAATGAATCTCATTTACATTAATTTATTAATGTAACGAAAGAGATCAAAAAATAAATATATTTCATTTTTGGCTTCCTCTTTTCTAGTTGGGGGTTGGAGACGGGGAGGGGGTATATCAGCCATCTATTTTATGCTTCCACATATAATAAGGTCATCCCAATTGCAACTATAAATAAACAGGCTGTTGTCACAGAAGTATAAGATATATTTTAGGTATATCAACATCATTATGATGCAGGAACATCTAAGAGGCTTGCTAGAGCTGGTCAGATCTGCTAATTACTAGTTGGATATGTTTGCATTGGATTCTTTATTTGGTACTTACTTTCTTGTTTTAATTCGTAAGTCTTCTGTTTAGTTTAATATTTCATTATTTAAAACAAAAAGACGTGTGCTTGTCAAGTGATTCATTAGAAGTACTGCTCTTTCTTATCTTTTAGCGAGATACAGATAAGTCGTACAACAATTACCATGATACCATCAATGTAACAGTAGTATTCAATTTTTTTGCAGTAAAATTTATTAGCTTTCTTAGGGACTCTTTCATCCTAGAAGGGTGATCTTAAACGTTGCTTCTTGCCTTCTTTATTGGTAATCAATTCATTGTCGACTCTCACTTCCCTGTCACTTTATATTCCTCAATTAACTTCTAAATTGGTATTTGGGCTATAAAAGGTATTGCTTTTGCTTCCTATATATTAAGATGTAGTAACATACAATGAACTTGGCAAAGGTGTGTAAAATGCGTGCATTCTTACATAATTGGACTATCAAGACAAGAGAATGAAAACTAACGTGGATACAAAACCTAAAACTAATACAATAAGAACATGAACCGTATTTCATGCTCATGGTTAGCGACAAACTTAGTTCATAACAAAGCATCATAATTTCACACAGTAATGCAAAATACCGTCCAAGAAATGAAAGCAGACAAATATTGTAATCGGCATTTTATAATTTAACCTCCATTGCATCAAGTTGATGACGATAAAGGTGGAATCCATCCATGGGAAGTACAATTGCAACTTCTGGGGTCTCAACTTGAGAATCAAAGGAACAAGATTTTTGAGGCCATAATTTGTTGACACGGCAAGCAACCTCAGATGCAAGAGTGCTCTTTCCAGCACCAGGAGGCCCAGCCAAGCCAATAATAAGCCTGCATATTCAAGAGGATTATTAACTGTAAAGAGCATATTTGTGAGATCAGTAGAAGAATAGCACGCCAGTACAAGAAAGTTGTCATCATTCATGAAACAAATAAAACAATTAGGTTTTAACCATGTTTAATTATGCCCGAGTAGTTATTGATCCCTCAGGTTCAAAGACCAAATAAACCAGGCACATGCGAACAATGATTAGGAGTAGAACTGGATATCTTTGAGTAAAACTGGAAGTTTGTCAGCAGGTTTACAACCCAATGTTGTAATCAACTTTTAATCCCAGTATGTCAATATAGAGGATGTACAAATTTTATCTCCAAGGACATTCTTAAACATAGGTGACATTCAAATTGTTCAATTTTATTTCATATACTCATCCATAAACAGATAGAAACTGATCCTGTGTGTTTTTTCTCATTTGAAAGATCTTTAATAGCAATGCCATGTATTCCTTGGAATGAGGAATGGCCTCCTTCGATTAGAAAGGCAAGTGGAAAAATTAGTACCACAAGCCACCAATAAGATATTTTGATGGTTTTCTTCTGGAGAACACGGTGGAGGAAAAGGAATTGGAGGGAAGAAACTAAAAAAATAAAATTGGAAATACTAGAAAATTTCCCGTGGAAATATATCCTGCAAAAGAGGGTCCTAGATAAAGCAGATAATATGTGCATCCATCTATACATAGGAACAGAAACATCTAGGTCACAAAGCATAGTTTTCAGATGAAGCCAGAACTCACTTAAAATTGGGATTTGCTGCTGCTGCTGCAGTCGGAACAAGGCGTTCAGCCAAGGCATCATAGATTTCATCCATGCACCTAATAAGAATGATTGAATTCACACAAGGATCAGTGGAATGCAATTATGCAAATCAAAAACAGATGCACATCCAGTATACATAACTGTGTTGAAAATTCCTCCTCATAGAGACCAAATACATGGTTATAAAATTAAAGGGAAATCTACTATAAGGAGGTGTAGCAACCAGCTACCCCAATTTTCAAATCCATCTCCTCATTTAGTCACCAAAAATAATGACTTGATTTCGCCCTTCTCTTGCCACGTCTTAATTTCACGACGGGAAAAGACAAATATTAAATTATATATTTCAAAAGATTGCTGAACTTTAAACTGGTCCTTTTTGAACTGAACAGAACCCTGAGCTTAAGGGCAATCTATGAATCACAGAACAATGAACATGGATAATAAATTCACCAAACTGTTAGATGCACAGTAAAACATAGATTAAGCATGCACACGTAAAAGAAGGATATGGAAACATCATTAAATCCTAAAGCCTAGTGACTAACTTAAAAAGTCTGCTCGGGAAAATATGCCTAGATAAAAATCCAGATGTCAATACCAAATCTATTGACTGAAAATACAGAGTGCAGTCACAGTGCCAAATTGTAAAATAAATTCAACTCTAGGAAAGTTAGTGTACCCCGCATCTATTATAGGAATTTCCTTCAGTTGACAACGTAAAACCTACAATAGAATTTTTGTTTTATCAATACAAAAATGAATTTGCAAAATAAAAAATGAAATTGTGTTTATCCGATAATTTCAGTAAAAAAGTACCTGCAAATGATTTTGCTTCTGGATCTGACCCGCTAATGGCCTTAAGGGCGTCTTCGTTGGCAAAAACAGAACTTGATTCCATTTTCGAAACCATGTCCTTTTCAGAAGCAATGCCTCTACATCGATCATATAAGAAGCACCATGCAGAAAATTAAAGGGCAAAATACTAGAACTTAGACTTGAAAGTTGAAATCATGTCCTACTCAGAAGCTGTATTACGCATAGTTTTTTGTACTGTAAATTGTCCCTTTTTAACCACGAAAATGCAATTAACAAATTGATGATAGAGACAAAAATACATCGTCTTCTGTTTGACATTATTGGAAACGCATAATAATCGAAAGATAATTGCATCATCGTTCCATCTCTTCATGTACCAAATGGTTTCCTTCTTACGCTATATCATCATCAATTAACAATTATTATACAAATTTCTCATAAAAAAAATTATTAAGTTAAAATTGTTTATAATCTGGGCTGTTTCATCATTAATAAATGAGAGCGGAACCTGATGGCGATGGCGTGGAGAGAAGTGATCTGGAGCCTATCGAAAACGATGAGACCTCCATGGCAGAGCAAAAAAGTAGAGCGAGGAAGGAGTACACAGATTTTGTTTTAGCACAGTGTGTGTTTACACGTAGAGAGAATTGTAACACGATTTCAGCTAAGGTGACGTTTCTGTTGACCTTTTCTGAAGACGAGACGAGATTAGCCGAGGGATATAACCAGAGTTATCATACCAACTCCAACATCGACTGACCGAGTTTGGTGAAAAAATATTAGTTTTGTAAATATGTTTATATGAACTTTTACTCAAGTATCACAACTTTTTTACAAAATTCTTTTTTATCCATCTTTATTATTCAAGGATTTCAAAAAAAAGAAATCCTTTATCTTTTTAAACTCTTTCGTAAATCTCTATAAAAATTTATTTATACAACTGTTACAACATTCAAATCACAGCTAAATATGATTGTAATAGAAAACTAAGTCACAATCATCGAATAACTGAAGAACAATCAGATTGTGATCAAAGAAAATATCAAATCAAATCACAAAATAATCGAAGAACAAATCAGTCACGACCAAAAAATGAGGTCACCATACAAAATCAAGTCACAATCATATAATAATCAAACAACAATTCGAAGAAAAATTGATTAACACAATGAAAATTATAATCAACTAAAAATTTTTTTGAATACAACTTACCTATTAACTCAATTTTTCATAAACATTGCATTAAACAGAAAATAAATATAAAAAAAATAATTGATTTACCTCTTAGAAATATATTTTCCACTAAAATCATTACTTTTAGATTTTTCTAAAAGAACTTCTTTATGAGATTCTGTTATTTTTCTTTTATTAGCCTTGTGTTCATTCTTTGATAAGATCCCCATTTTACACTCTTAGGTAACATCATTTTACAATTAGTTTGTACGAATTTAGGGTTAATAGAAGACTAAACTATAAAAAAAATTTATGAAATTTGAAATGAGGAAAACAAATTTAGCACTTTCATCGTCGATGAAGCTTCGAATCTCTACTCTCTCTCGACGAACGTGATAGAATCGCTTGGACAAAGGTTAGAGCTTATGTCTCAAGGGATATGGTAGAAGAAGAAGGAAATTTGAAGATTTTGAATAATTTCTCTCTCCTACTATGGATGATAATGTTGGTAAGTAATGTTTAGTTATTTATTAATTAATAATTTAATATTTAATATTTTAATTTTAATTTTAAGAAATTAATATAACCTGATTTTTGTAACAATAAACTTAAAACTTATTTATTGAAATATAAAATCAAAAATCAAGGATATGTGTAATTTCCTCAACTTAAAATCTGATTTTTAAACTATAAGCTCAGAACAATATTTGTAATGGATAAAATCATATATGCACTATTATTAAAAAAGAATTCACACTTTACTTTGTGATGGAAATATAACTATAGGTACTAACTTATATGTAAATTATTTTAAAAAATACTAATTTGTAAAAATATATATCCCAAACCACAATTGTAATTGACATATATTCAAATCAGTAGACTTCATGCTGGACATTCATGAATCTTCATTTTCAATTCTGAAAACATAAGAAAAATGATAGAGACACCATTATCTATTTTAAAGAACATATTGAACATCTTCATCCTTTAAATCTAATCTATTAATATACATCTTCTGGGATGACGACAAATTGTGTTGCACATTTCATACAATGTAATTTGGGTTTTTCTCAAGATCAAATATGCTATTTACTTTGTAATACCGTAAAAACGGATATATGATATGTAATCTGACGAACTTCGAATACAATGGTTATATTAATTGCATGGTTTTTACTAAAATACATGATATTGTCATCTTCGAAATAAAATCTAGTAACAAATAATTCACATGCATCTTTATTGATATGTATGACGTGACTCTGTGTTTTAAGTGATTTAATATTTCAAACAAGAATCATGACAGTTTGCCATGTAAACTATCATTTGACAATTTAAAAAAAAAAAAATCCCTTCAACAATATTTTTTAAATACAAAAAAACAATGTCAAGGATGATGTACACTTAGAGTGTACAAAATGGCATTTCCCTTCAAAGTTCAAACAATGTTGGGAAATTCATCTTGGCATTTTGCATATTATCAAGAAATTGATTTTTTTTTAAATAATGCAAGGGAATACATTGCTTGAAATCTATATAATATCAAGTTCTAGTGTGATTCTATGGATTTCTTGAGTTGGGATGCTTTGGGAGGAATGGAGAAGTGGAAGAATGTGAATTACACCAATTGGGAGATTAAAGACGTGATTACATTTTGGTAAGCGCTTGTTTGGAGGAGTGAAATCAACACTTGATCTAATGCTTGCGTGAGTCGTTAAAATTTAATATTTTTCATTTTACTGTAACTAGTCAAAGTTGAATGTGTATTGCACGTTATTTTAAATTACTTTATAAGTGCTGTAAAAATAATATTTAATATCAATTTGTTGCAAGGATTTGATGAGTCTCAAACGTACTAAAGAAAATAAGATTCAGGATAGAAATATAATACAAAAAATTGTACTCTCAAAAGCCAATTCTATGATTCAATTTTATTATTATTATTATTTTTTGGTGAAATACTACAAATAATCAACATTTTTATACTATATTTGATACATAAGATTTAATTGTTAATACGTGAATTTAAACACTAATTAAGATTTTTAGATACATAAATCGAAATAAAATCATCTATAATTACTCTAAATTCATATAGATCAAGATTCACCAAGTAAAGATTCATAATGTGAATGTTAATTAATTGAAAATAATAACATGAAGTTCATACATAACAAGAATTTCGTAGTATTTATTACATATTGAAAGACAAAAAGAAAGATATTATTGAATTGTAGTTTGGTTAAAATTGTTAAAAAATAATTCTCACTTGATGTGATATTTAAATATTAATTAAATAATAAAAACTTGGTGCAATTTCCTCTGTTCATGAAGCCCAAATAAAAGGCAGGCCTATCAAAGGATAACCCAAGTCTGTTTAGCAAGGGGAGCAGCCTAGGTTTTAATTCTCAGTATTTTACACTAAAAATTGGGAATATACTAATCACGTCCCGGCACCAATTATCTCGCGTTCCAGTGATTTCTTCTCAACTTCTTCATCACCAAATTCGGAAGGTAGTATTGAATTGTATTTCTGTGAAAACGGGCTTTATATGTTGAAATCGACTCGATTTGTTTGTTGTGAACGATTTAATTTGAACTCGACTCCGTATAATTTATTTTATTTTTCCAGAATTGTTGTTTCTTGATGGTAATCTTTCTCTAGCAACAGTGATTTTTTATTTTTTTTCAAAAATATATATTTTGATGCGGATGTTTATGGCTTTCCATTGGTGAAATACCCAGGACCAAAATCCAGTGGGGGCAGTTGCCCCCTGCTGCCCCCCTAGACCCCAGGTGGCTCCTCCCCTGATTATTAGTGACCAATGACTTCTGTACTGAACCAAATCCGTATTCAGGATAGCAATGTAGAGTTTTTAATTGCTTCTTGTTTGTGTTTGGGAGGAATGAGGACTACTTATTTGGAAATTGTGTTCAAGGTCTATGTCTTGAAAGACTTTATTTTAAATTAATTTTGATTACAAAAGCACCTGTAACATGTTTGAAAAGAGATTATAAGATAGCCAAAGGAGCCTACTGTATATGGTTCACTTGATTTTCCATTTATGTCAACTCGTTTTACCTTAGCTATTGGGATTGATCATCTTTATATCCAAGATTCATTTTGTAAGCTAGAGCATTTTGAGCACTGCGCAATTTGACTTGAAATGTCCATTTGGTCTTTGTATCTGAGGAACATGACACGCTGAAGACATTCACAATTTTAAAATCAGTTTGCTGTAAGGCAAGAACCTGGCCGCCCAAGCTGGTTTTTGCCCACCCCTTATTGCTTCTATAGTCATTTAAATATTTTTTGTCATTTTATCTTTATTTCATTGGCTTTTCTACATTTTGCATATTTGTTTCACTTGGTTAGTCATGATTTCCATTAACAATATGTTATTGTTGGTTTAGTTTTGGTTCCAAATCGCTTAAGTATTATACCTCCATTTTTTTCATTGATGCTATTGGTTTCAACAATGACTTGATGCTCCATTATTGAGGGGTATCGGCCATCAAATAAATGCATGGAGTTGTTACAGTTTATAGTAAAAAATTCGATGATTCATTTTCATCATGTTGCAGACGGTGTAGATATGACGAGTTTGATTTCTCAAAATGCTATACCCAAAGAAGTAAAAAGGAATGCAAATAAGGATGGGACTACACTTGTGGGGGATGGAAACAAAGATGTTGAGGATGGACAGGAGCTTGATTTGGATGCTATAAAGAATCGAAAAAGAAGGAGAGAACGAAAGAAAAAGGATGAAGAATCAGAGATTGAGCAGGAGAGGGAAATGAAGAAGCTAGAGAACTTTTTGTTTGGCTCTTTGTACTCTCCCATTGAGTTTGGGAAGCACAATGAAGAAATGAGAGATGAGGTTGACAATAGTTCTGCGTTGTACTTCACGGACAGGTCAGCAAATAGTATGTTGTCAGTTTATGAAGAGGATGCGGGATTGGCAGAAGAAACAAGTGACGAAGAGGAAACTAAGCAAAGGAAACCTGTATGGGTAGATGAAGAAGAGGAGAAAGCCAGCATAAATATAGCTAAAGTGAACAAATTGAGGAAACTGAGGAAGGAAGAGGATGAGTGTGTAATTTCTGGTTCTTCATATGTGTCAAGATTGAGAGCTCAGCATGCTAAGCTGAACCCTGGCACTGATTGGGCACAACCTGATGTACGGGTGAGAGATTACAGCTCTGACGATGAGGATGTCGATAACGAAAGTGGGGCAGTGGTGGCCAGTGGTTATGAGGATGCTGAAGGTGTTGATGATATCCTTAAAAGGAATGAAGATCTTGTTGTGAAGAATAGTGCAAAATTGTTACCAGGGCGTCTAGAGTATTCAAGGCTGGTGGATGCCAATATGATGGAACGTTCAAATGGTCCCGTAAAATCAGTGCAGTTTCACAAAAATGCTCAGTTGCTCCTTGCTGCTGGATTAGATAAGACAATAAGATTTTTTCAAATTGATGGAAAAAAGAATGCTAAAATACAAAGCATCTTTCTTGATGGTTATCCAATTTATAAGGCTTCTTTCTTACCCGATGGGTCTCAGGTTATTATATCGGGAAGAAGAAAGTTTGCTTATAGCTTTGATTTAGTCACAACAGAAAAAAGTGTGATAGGCCCTCTAATTGGTAGGGAGGAGAAGAGCTTGGAAAGCTTTGAAGTTTCTCCTGATTCTAGTACAATTGCTTTTCTCGGCAATGAAGGTTATATTTTATTAGTTTCAACGAAAACTAAAGAACTCATTGGGACCTTGAAAATGAATGGGACTGTTCGTTCAGTAGCTTTTACCAATGATGGACAGCAATTGCTGAGCTCTGGTGGAGATGGGCATATTTACCACTGGGACCTGAGAACAAGGAC